TGGAACATGAATGCAGAAGCTTGACAAAATGATCAATTATACACGGGCACCGGTACCGGTGCCTTGTTCGCTGTGTTTGGTGTTTTCCATCGAGCACTGGTATGACGCGTAAAACCCAATGCTCTTGGTGGTGTGTTTGTAGACAAAACTGCCACCCGTGCAAAAGGGTTCAGTGTTTTTACCATGGCTGCTCACAACCCTATCAGGGGAGAGGGCAAAGCCATGCGCAAAATTCTATAACAAAAGCGCGGCAATGGGCTAGAAAAGACTATTGTATAGTATACTTAACACCGGCCGTTGCCGGCTGTGTGAGCTGGTGCAGCCACTCCGTTTGCTGCTTTGTTGTTGTTGCTTGCTGCTTTGAAGTGGTGATGAGACGATGACGGTGAGATGATAGTCCACCTATAGCGTCGCTAAAGGTGGCTACTTCCTCTGCTGACTGCGGTTGCCTTGGGCACTGAACTTCGTCCACGGTAGGTAAAACGCGCGATATAAAAAAAACCACTATGGTGGGAAAAAAAAAACTCCACCGGCTACGAAACCAATACCCGCAACGGAGACACGAACAAACTACGTCCGGCTACTTCAAGCTATCGGCGAGGAATGGAGGAATTCTCCTTGTCGACAATATTATATAGGGGAGGATGGTATACAACGCACCCCCTGGGCAGAACGCACCAGCTGACTTTCATTTGTGTTTTTCATGGCTTTTTCATAACTTTTTTGTTGTCTTATCAAGCAGCACTTCTAGCATAGCATCTGAACTCAAAATCCTGCATGATAAGTCCTAGAATTGGATTAAAAATTCCAAGAAAAACTCAAAATAAAATGAAAAAGTGCGTCTTACCCCGGGGGTGCGTTATGTACTGTTCTCCCCTACACGGGTTTTCGGTTGGGGGTGAATTAAAAGTTAAACTTTCTAGCTTGCCGGCGCCTGTGGTGTAGTGGTAAGCGTGACTGCTTTCTAACACCCCAATGGGTCTGGATTCAATCCCCAGCCGAGGTCGGTGGGATTTTTCTGAGGCATAAAAATCTCTGGTCACGTCTTCCTTCGGAAGGGAAGTAAAGCCGTTGGTCCCGGCCCATGTGTGTTGAATGGGTGTCCCGGCCCATGTGTGTTGAATGGGTGTCCCGGCCCATGTGTGTTGAATGGGTGCGATATCCTACGCAGGTGTGGAAGCAGCCTTCCTTGCACATTCGGTTGCCGTCAATGGATGGCAATCGATGTCCGTCGGTGATTGGCACCGTTAAATAAAGGAAAAAAGACTTTCTAGCTCGAAGTTTCTCGCCTGTTTTGCGTATTTTCTTGTTTACTCGAGCCCTTCGGCTACCCGGTTCGATCGTCTCAGTGACGATCGTTAAACGACTACAAATGTCATTGGAAATATTTCAGAGCGCGCTAGGGTGCGCAAATAAATCACAACACACTCCTCCACTTCACTTTCCAAAACCACTTGTATTGTCGGTTTCTACTGACACGTTTTATTCTCCCACTGTCTACTGGCGTACTAAATCCACTTTCTAAATCGCTATCTGACCTGTTTCCTGTTGTCCTTCACTTCTCCTTTGGGGCCCCTCGCAATTCCACCACCACGATCCACTTTCTTCTTTCACCACGCTCGGCTTCACATTCCACTTTCTTCACTTCTCCCCTTTTATACCTTCTTCGCGCGTGACTGAACTTCTCTCGCTCTTCCGATGCTGGCTGGGCCACCGAGTATGTTGACGGACTCGGCTTCGGCGGTTCGTGCCGGAAATGTCCTTATTTGCTTGGGAACTGGCGTAGTCTACCGGTACGTCTACCAGGTATGCTTCAGAGGGTCTGTATTAAAAATTACAGCGGGATCCTGCTGTCCGTTCCTTCCACTAACTCTCCTCCACTCTCCGCTCACTATCTCTATCGATTTGCTGTCTAAACAGTAATTCTTTCTAATATCTAGGCATTATCTTGTATGATATCCCGCATAAACAATAACCATAAGATGCGCCTAACCACCAATTCGGGATATCATCCCAACTTTATGTGGGATAGTCGTACCATCTATGATATCGTTAGAGTATGGTTAAACGGGTACGGGTACGGGTCGACGAAGAGAATCGATCAATGTTACTTAGGACCTAATGCAAAGTTCAGCTTGAATTGCTCTTGTAAAAAGAAAATAGTTCTCGTAATAAAATCATGCATTATGCTTTTCTGTTCTGCTTTCATCCTATGCACACTGGGACAGGAATGCAACCTAGCGGACGAAAATTAATAACTCTGAAACGAAGCATTTCCGCGACTTGGTGTCTTCGGTAAAATTTCTCATCATAATAAGGACCATAAACAAATAGTTCAAAACTCTTCTGCAGGGTTGCTTCCACTCACTTGCTATAAAAAAATATTTTTCGGAATTATGCAATCATTAGATGTTATAATGATATGTTGTACATGTAAGTAACAAGAAGAGGGTGTAAGGCATGTGTTTGATTTATAAACCCTGTCAATTTCGCTTTCAGAGCGTCACAATCAGCGATCTTATGATTCGTGAGCGTTCACTCAGAGTGAGTGCTCACGAGTCGTAAAATCGCTGATTGTGACGCACTGAAAGCAAGATTGACAGATTGTATGTGTCAAACATATACTGCATGACCTCTTCTTGTAACTTACAAGTACTAATTAGCATTATACTATTTCATGATTTCATAATTCTGAAAAACATTTTTTATAGCAAGTGAGTGGAAGAAACCCTGCTCTTCTGCAAAGATGGTGTCACAATCTAACTTCTTTCTCTGACGTTTTGGAGACTTGATGTCTTGGGCAAAGTCGTCTGTCGCCATATTGTCATTATGAAAATGCCATTAGCCTTGGAATAAAATCCAAGAAATTTCAATAAAATAATGGCTAAATTAGAAATCCGAAATGATTTCCAGTGTGCATTGGTATGAATTTATGTATTGAGATCTATTTTCTGTAAAATTAAAGTGATTCCATCAAATTCATTTGATTTCTGAAACAATCTTTTTTGTTAACTTGAATTATTTTGAAGGCGCATTTATTAAACGCCCATATTATCCCAATATACACGATAAAATTTCAAGCGCATGTGTTTTGGAACTTCTAAAAAGTCATATATTTTCTTTAAGATTTTCACTAATGTCACCATGAAACAAAATTGATTGCATGGTGATCTTGACACCAACACTCAAACCTATTTTTTCCGCTAAAGATTTCCATTTGGAAAAAAAAAGTTTCAGCAGAACAGAACAACAACAAGCTAATTTATGGCGGTTGCTTTAAAGCAAATAAAAATTAAATTGGATTTATAACTGGTTTTCACCAAAGCGTAATAAAACTGCTTGAATACAATATTACTCTTAAAGAGGCTATGAGAACCTTTTGTAGAGTATGGGGCTTTCTGATAAAAGGTTTTAGGACAGCTTTATTGTGATTCAAACATGCTTTATAAACCTTATCAAGAGTGGTCCACTAAGCTGGAAGACGATCTTATAGCGGTTATCAAGAGGTTGTGCTGGAGCTATTAATTTTATTGACGATTTTATAAAATTGATCTCAATAACCACTAATAGAGTGCAATAAAACAAGAAATGCTACTTGGGAGATGTGCACTGAGTATTTCTCACTTCATTTTTACTACGCAAAAACAAATACAGTTTATTTGTAGAATTAAAACCTACTGTTTTGTTTTTACGTATCTATAACACGCCAAGCATGTGGTCAGTGACCCAGGCCATTTGGTTTCCATCGATCTAGATGCCATTTTAGTGACCAAAACATGACCATCCCCCTTCACCATAATACCACTTGTACTCTATGCAATCCTGAGGCTTTGTTCAAAATTTGAGCTAAATCGATCAACATTTACCTTTTTGAAGCTATTTCTTCGAGTTGAAATTTTAAATGTACACACCAAAAAAATCTTAATTTCAATTGTGATGTAAACATTTATTTACGTAAGCTTGTATTTCATTTCACGCAAACGAGCAACTTGTAAGCTATGTTGTTTAAATATTTCAGAACTTTACACGATTTATATAGTAACCTTATGTGTGATATCTGACGCTCCATTCATGGGCATCATATTGAACAGAAATTTACACTACTTTTTGAACTGTGCGTATAAAGTTTTGGGTATTCGCTCAATACTCCTATGAGACTTACATAACAGATAAGGTGACCATGTAAGTTAAGCGAAAACCGACATTCCTCAAACTCCTTGAAAGTTCCTTCTTCTGCGAAGTTTCCTGGATTTTTACAAAATTTCTAAAATTAAAGTTTTCTAAAGTTCTGCGACGTTTAATGAACTTCTACGAAGATACTTGAAGTTGATGAAAAATCTATAAATCTACAGCAATTAATTTCCTCGAATTACTACAAAATTCAATTATTTTCTAAAGTTTGCTAAATTTCTACAAACTTCAGTGAAGTTCTACAAAGTTCAATGAACTTCTACCAAATTCTTTACATTTCTACGGACAAAGTTTCACGATGTTGGCTGAGCTCCTGCAAAGTTAACTGAACTTCTATCTAAGGCTTTGCAGTTTTATAAAGTTTCCTGATCTTCTACACAGTTTTCCGAACTACTCCGAAGGTCCTCGATATCAAATGATGTTCCCTTAACTTCCCTGAACGTCTGTAAAGTCTCTGTTTTATCCTTATAATGAAGATTGTTTTGCTTTTTTCTACACCGTGTTATTCAAATAGGAGTGCGACACCTGTGTAAATGTTATGAAATTCTGACATGGTCAGCTCCAAAAATTGACGAAAAAAAGTGTAATAAATCGAAGTTGATGTTCTGCAATTGGTAGCCGCTAATGGTTTTTACATCTGTGCTGGTGTTCTGGTGCCAGTCTACTAGAACTATACTAAAAGTAGTCAGCATAATGTAAACAGGGCGTCAATAAAAGCAGCCGTGTAGGGTCCACTTAATTATTTCATTTTTAGGTTAGAACTAATCCATGTCGATGCGTGAATACATATTTATCTTTCTCTATTGCAGGGTGAGCCTCTCAAGCACTTGAAAGTCCTCTTCGTAGACAACGACACAATTGCCATGAACAGTCACGTGCACTATCAACTCCTAAACGATTCCCACCAGCTGTTCGAACCGAAGTGCATCACCTACGAAATCGAACGGGACGACGGAAGGCAAACCGTGTTCGGCTGTTGTAAGCTTATTTTGTTTACCGACCTACGATTGTTTGTGATCCCAAACTAATTTTCCGTTGTTCTATCTAGCATTGATTGCTCGCAAAAGTGGCATTATACTGAAGGGACGCTACTGTGTCGTGCTTCAAGCGGTCGACGAAACGCTTGCGGATATGGACCCCAATCCGTTGAGCAGTTCTACTATTTGTATCGATCCCAACTACGAGCAGATCCTGTTGCCACGTCCTGAACCGCTCATCGGCGTCGATCCTCCAGCTCCAGTCGATAGTAAACCAGCTCGTGCGGGTGGCAAGAAACGTTCCAATAACAAGATAGCAGCCACCCTCGCGAACTTCACCTACCCAGAGAGGGTGGAACTGTATACCAGCGCTACCCAATTTGCTCGCATAGCTCAAACGAGCAACATGTATGAGCAGATTAAAGAACCTAAAACGGATTTGAAGTGAGTAGTTGTATCACATTGATGTTGTTGAATTGTTGTCTTAACTTTTGGTAAATTATTTCAGTTATCGTATACTCACTAATCCACTGGATGCTTTCGCTATCACGTCAACTGCGGGAATCATCTACCTCAACAATGCCACCACAATCCAGCAGCAACCATCAAGCGTATCGTTGAACCTGGTAGTGGCTTGGCTGAACCATACTGCAACGATCCGTATTTCTATCAAATCGCTCCCGGGAATCTCATGCAACGTTTCCACCGAACATTTTTGTTCGAACCATGCGAATCAGACGAGTTGTATCGCTAGCTGTGGCGTAGGTAGCAGGGAAGGCAATTGCAAGTTTAGAATTCCCAACGATCCCTTCGGAATGCACTCCAGCAAAGATGAATCTCCATTCGAAGAGAATTACCCAACCTGCACACCGGATCTCAACTATTGTCCGGACAATGTGTGCGACCCCCTTGAAGATATGGGCCACAGGAAGAAGATCCAAATTTGTCCCCAGGATTGTGTGTACCCAGGTGAAATCATCGGTATCCATCAGAGCGATCACCCTGCCGCCAGAGGGCTCCATATGTCTGGTGCGGGCACTTGCACTTGTCGTCCGACTGGACAGTGCGATTGCACCAGCAAACTCGGAATCAAAGTCGAGCATCGTAAGAACAAGACTAGAACAAAGACCAAAACCAGTACCACGACGGAACCGGTTGTGCTCTTTAACGGCACGGACGGGGCATCTTCGCCGGCTGCTGTGAGAGATGGTAGCAGTTACTATCAAACCGGGTTGATCAATGGGCCGAATGCACCGATGTACCTGTTAGCGATTGTCGTCATTCCGATGATTGTGGCCGTGCTGTTGGTGTCCTATTGCTTCTCGCGAAAGACAATCATGAAGAAGAAGCTGACCGATGGGAACAACATTCCGATGCACATGGTCAGCAACGAGACCGAGGTGTTCAATGTGGACTTGCCGCTCCATTCCAGGATAAACGATATCAACTTCAAGATTGATGTAAGTAGAAGCATAGTCTCAATCTAAGATTCGCGGGTGGGTCGCAGAAATTCAGACATCTTGGTTATATCTTAAAAATTAAGATAATCCAAATTAAGCTGCAATAACAACCTCTTGGTTTTATTTTTCGTTTCGCGATAAAAATTGGAAATTCTGGATCGTTTTAGAGATTTTTTTTTTTAATTCTTTATTTAAGAGATTTTTAGCCTTAGGCTAGTTCATCTCTAGTCAGTTGTTGAGGTCTCAGAAGGAGAACCTCCTACGGAGTTGTTGGACATAGTAGGCTTAAAATGAGTTTCTCCTGACAATGCCTGGGGGGAACACCTTCATGAGGGCCAGAAGACTCATCCCATGTGATGCCCCTCCGGCTGCTGAGGCTGTAAGGTGACAGCTCTCCTGGCTCTTCACGAAGACGACAACAAGTTCAAAATGAATAACACAAAACTGAACGAGACGACACCGTGACGAGGTCCAAAGGCTCATCCCGTGCGGTGCCGTCCCGACAGTCAGAAGAAATTAAACATATAAACAAATGAACGAGTATACAAACGAATATAACAGCTATGGCTTTCCTAGATCTCATGGTATAGGTTAGCTTCCCTGAGGAAAACTAGCAGGGCGTCTGCAGCGGCTGAATCCTCTCCGAGTAGGTTCCGGATGCTGGAGGTGATCCCATAGGATTCCCTGAGGTCCTGGAATTCAGGACAGATGCAGAGGACGTGTTCAACGGTGGCCGGGAGATGGCAGATGGCACAGCTTTTGCGGAAGGGACCTCCGCCGCCGAAGTTATAGTAAAACCGACAGTGGCCAGTCCTCAGCCTTGAGAGCACTCTCTGATCCCGGAGGTTTGGGAGGTCCGTCCATGCCTCCGTGGTTCCTTTGATCTTCCGGATGAAAGGCTCTCGAGTGCTGAACCACTGGTCGGCCCAGGCTTTCTGTACGGTTGTTTTGATCCATCGCCGGAGATCTGGAAGGGGGACTTTGTCCGTGAATCTCGGACCCGCCGGTCCAGTTCCAGCGAGTTGGTCTGCTGCTTCATTACCAGGTATTCCGCAATGACTGGGGATCCATGTAAAAATGGTGCTGCTCGGGGCGTATTCGATGGTAGCTTGAATCCACGGGTGGGTGGGAACTGCTGAAGCTAGCTCTTGGATAGCACTGAAGGAATCGGTTAGTATTACGATTGGCTGGTTTGCTGGTGACGTGGCCGCATGGAAGATTGCGGCCGCTTCGGCCGAGTAAACGGAGCATTGTTGTGGTAAGCTGCTGCTAGCGAGTATGCCACTTCCGGATACTCCGATGCCAACGCCCGTGTTGGATCGGGAACCATCGGTGTACCGGTGAGTGTGTTCGGCGTAATGGGTTCGGAGGCGTTCGATTACTGTGCGATGGAGGGCCGCGGAGTTGTCTCCTGCTTTAAATCGATTTTTTATGTGATAGTCAATATGAATGCTGGAAGAGAGCCAGTTCTTCTCTCCGTGCCAGTGGGTCCTAGCCACTGGGGGGAGGTCAATGCTGGCGATCGTCTGCAGGATTCTGTCCCCCTCGTCGAGGAGGAAGATTCTGCCGTTTCCTGCTGTCTTGGCGGCGAAGGATGCAGCTTTGAAGATGGTAGCGTTAAAGATGCGGTACCGAAAGGGTAGAACCCCTGCTTCAACACAAGCGGAATCAGCGGGGGTGGAAGGTAGAAGGCCAGAGATTATCCTGATGCTGCTGTTGAAGGTTGGAGGTTTTAGAGATGTTAAGGGCATCATTTTGCTTTTTAAAGCAAAAGTAGTAATAATAGGCTAGCTTAGGGATTTTGTGATTTTTTTGGACCATTGACGTTTCGAAGGTTATTTTTTTATAGCGTTACCAACATTATTTTGAGGGTTTTCAGCACGTTTTTAAAAACCATTTCAGCGTTTCAAGAAGAGAAGGTAAAGTGTGTCTATGACACATACAAGCTGTCAATTTAGCTTTCCGAAAATCACAATGCAACGCGATAAACGAGCAATCAGCGATCATAAAATCGCTAGTTGTGACCTTCTGACAGCAAAATTGACAAATTGTATGTGTCATACAAAAACTTTACCACCTATTCTTGCTTCATACAAATAAAAATTATCATTATAGTATCTCATAGTTTCATAATTACGAAAAATGGCATTTTAGCTTTCGATGCCTGTACAATTTTTGCAATAGTATGATTGGGTGCCAAGTAAATTCTTACTCTATGCCCAGGAAAGTCGAGACCGTCTAGACTGGACCGAGAATCAACCCAGCCACCTCCAGCATGGCCTTACTTTGTAGCTGCGACTTTACCGACTGAGTTTAGAGAGGCATCCAATAAAATTAAGGTGGTTCTCAAATCATTGCTATTTAAAAACTAACTTTTTTGACGTAGGACTACGTTTGTGATTTCTATATGGGAGTAAACTTTGTGAAAACTGAAAATGGAACATGTAACAAAATTATGAAAGATTTTGAACGTTAATAACTCAGCTTCCCCTGAACCAATTTCAATAATTTTAACACCAATCGATCAGAAATATTTCTACGCATCTGTGAAATTTAAGACTTTATCATTTTTCAAAATTTCATATGCAACTGTTGCTATGATAATTATGATAATTAAAAATCGATTTCCCTAACATGGATTTCAAAGTTGAATTCCATCCGGTCTCATCAAACGGTGTTTATTTGTGCTCTTCGTGAGTCGTTGTGGACCATCTATGTTAAGCGCGTCATACTAAAGAGTATAAACAGAGAGAACCCCGCTCAAATTCCTATTCCCACACAAAACACAAGCTCCTACTACAGTTAACAAATAAGATTTATTATATAAGACCACGTAGTCCTGCGTCACCACTGCTTACTACCCCATAGGGCTGTTCCTTGTAGTTTTTTTTATATTTTAAAATAAAAACGTATGCTTTTCGACAAAGTTGTAGCTGAGCTTTTTTTAAGTCAATCACTTAAAAAAACCTGTTTCACCCTACTCCTTAAAATGTAGTCACTAAAGCCTTTTGTTAACGACAAATAATTTGCCTTCAAAACATCGCATCAAATCACAGCTTGATTTGGCAACAAATTTGTGTTAAAAATACTCCTTAAAAATTAGCGTGTAAAGTTGGACAAGAAGAGTTGCGAACAGACCAGAACTGTCCAATTGATGTTGAAGGAGTCTCTAATATTTTGATTTTTGTTTCAACTCCATGATCAAGACATTCAAGTCCGTTGTCTCCGGCCAATGGCTGAAAGTCTTTTTAATAAAGTAACCTAACCTAATTCCTTTATCTTCAAAATGTGTCCCTTGCCTGTGATTTCGAATTAGTCATAGACTCATCCAGGCATGGAAAATCATTTGCATTCATTTGGTGCATTCATTTACATTCATTTGCCCCTAACTTTTTTCATCAACAGAATTCCAAGAAAATGATGTATGGAGTTTTTGTAGGTTTTGTTATTAACTACAACTTTTGTTAAGAACTCAAATCCGTATTTCTTATGCATGACGAACCAGAGCAAACAGAATCCACTACTGTTTTTCAGTGAATGTATTTTACATTCACTGAAAAACTGTAACGAGTTCTGCCCACTCTAATTCGTGATGCATAAGAGATACAGATTTTATGGGCAAAAGTTGTAGCTAATAACAAAACCTACTAAAACTCATTTTGCGAAATGCTGCTGATGAAAAAAGTTAGAGGCAAATGAAAATAAATGAATGTAAATGATTTTCCAATCCTGGACTCATCACTAATTTTTTCAGTTCTCGAAAAAATATATATTTGATTTACTAAAGGCACTACTACGCTGAGGCAAAAGACCGTAAGAATTACATAAGAACCACTAATGTAATTCGACCACAAGAAATCGGTATGAATTTCATTGATTTGTCTTATGAAAAATACTGTTGGCAAAAAAATAAATTATAAAACGGAGCAGACAGGAACCGAACTATGGACGTTGATATTACGTGGCCCGTGTGTTGACCACTCGTCTTTCAATGCTTGAAAAAATAGAATGGCTAAAGGCGTATAAGAGCTACCTCATGTTAGTCGAAAATCATTCATAAGTCATGCTTATGACATTCATATGTGTCGTTCATAAGTCGAGCATTATGAAATTCTGAAGTTTATTTGCCTCAGTGTATTATATCACATACCCACTACCAGCCCTGCACGTGGACAGTTTTTGATAGATTTTATACATTTGCCCAATGGCGTCCCGTAACCTCACTTTCTACCTGTGCACCAACTTTCAAAACCAGATTTAATGCCATATTCATACTCGACTCGGTTGAAAAATACACTTCTTAATCTTCTAGTTTACTCGATATCTATCCATCGCAAGTAATATTTTGATAATTGTTTATGTTTTGAGAGTTGGTGCACAGGTAAATTGAGGTTAAGATAACGCCACTGCATTTGTCAACCAACTCCTGAACAGTGATGCCAACTATCAACGTAACGAAAACGTAACACTCGCTGCTGATGACATAAAGCACAACGAAAACAGTGAAGACTTCTGCGGTACGATGAAGAGAAAAAGCGAAACGACCGAAGAAAATGAAAACAATGCCTACGCATTCCAAGTTTGTCTAGTCAGTCGCCACTGTGTGACTTACAAACAAAGCTGGCAAAATTAAACGGAAGCTGTTGGGCTCACTCACATAAGCAAGCAAAACAGCAACTGCTTCAAAAGGAGCACAGATGAGTGTCGTGATTGTCGGGAATTACCAGATCGGTGATGGATCACCACCGCAGACGACATTCACTAGTTGCTTTTTACTTCTTTCGTCAACTTGATGGATGGTCGTGGACTGGGAGGGAGACCCAGACTCCAAACGTAGGAGCCAAGCACAAGCTGCCAGGAACTGTCATTGGGAGCCAAACAGTTTGACGATGCTTTTCTTACAATTGAACAAGAATACAGAAGGTGGTATTGAAATCTTGTGAAAAGTAATTTCTGACAAACTGGCGTTTCTAGCTATCTTATTCAATGGGACATCGTTT